GGGAAACGAAATACATACCAAACGATAGAGAATTGATCAAGGAACACGATAGTGAAGGTTTCAAGTCGATATCTTCCACCGTTTTGCCGCAATCTCCGCGGAAAGTTGAAAAAAGTCTATTTTTCCGAAAATTTGACCTTTGACCGGTCAAAAGTAGGTCAAATGTTGACCTAGGACCAAAAAATATACCACCAATCGCGAGATCTCGGCGAGAGCAATCCGTTGGTCTTTTCCGCTAAGCTCTACGACGCTCCGTTTTCAAACGCCAAGGGGGGGGGTCGCACCAACCCCCCCCCCTGCATGGGCGAAGGTGGCAGATCGCCGTTTACGGGCGAGGGTTAACGTGCCACAATGAGACATTTGATATTGTTCCGGCTGGGATCCAAGACGCGTTTGATTCAGCGTTTCACCCAATTTTTAGTTTTCCTCACGGTTTCCTCACTCCTGCTGGACTCCATATCTTTATTCTAACTTCTGGCGTTTCACCATGTTCATCCTCAGCTTTTTCAAACCCTAAATAAGGGGAAGTAGGAATTTCATCTTTCATAGGTACTCAACGCAGCCTAATAATGAAAAACACAAACAAATAATCACGGTGACTATAAATATGAACATAGTATTAATATAATATTAACACAATATTAAGATTAAAGTGTAAAATATCAAATGAATATGATATTAACTGTTGCGCCGGTACGGCATGTGGTAAATCTCTTCCCAACCTTGGGCTGTGAAAATGCAGTTTTATTCACCTCGGTTTTTTGCTACGGACCTCGTGCCTACCGGCACTCGGTCCTCCGCACAAAAACCTCGGTGAATAAAACGCATTTTCCCAGCCCCGGTCGGGAATATATATAGACAGGCTGATGAAGGAAGACGGATGTCTTCCAAAAGCTACCAATAAAAATAAACAAAGCTGGTGTCCTGAACAATCTTTACCAAGAACAAATTTGAAATAGTAATTTTTCAACAGACACGGCGTTTATCAGATGTAGTTTGAGCTCGTGAACACGATGGTGCTATTCATTTTGATGAAAGATGTCAAAAGAAACTGAAAATGGTCGGATTTGAAAAATTGATCAGGGTGCAATTCGGACAAAAATGCGTATAACTTAGCTATTTTTGATGATATAGGGCTGAAGTGAGTAATAGAGCTAGAGCGAATCATCGGCATGTGTTCCATTACACTTCTTCCGATTTTTGGAACAGTCAAAATATCTTATTTAAAAAGATTAAAATGTCAGTTGTCAATTGTAGTCAACTGTAGCCAGTCCATTCACCGTTGTATATGTATATTTTCGAAAATTTAAAAATTGTGAAAATCCGAGATAGCAGTTCGATAGCCAGCTGCATTTCTAGTCCCTTCATGCAAAGAAATTGTATCTACACCTTTTTAGGCGCAATTTCAAAAAGTTAAAGACCAAATTCAAAAAGTTTACATTCGAAATGCACGTGAACGTTTTGAATTTGGTCTTTGAATTTTTGAAATTGCGCCTAAAATGCTGTAGCTTAAAAAACTGAACTCTTGAGAGCGATTGCAGTAGTTCAATGTTTGCATCAAAATCGGCACGACATGACATCACTCTGGCGTCATTTCTGGTCGATCTCTGGTAGTTAAGAAATTGTAACTTTGACACAAGATGTTACAGCAATGCAGCTAAAGGCACTGCCAGTTTCGTGTTAATACGTCCAGTGGCTTAAAAGATATTACAGAAAAACGGGAGGCGAGCTCTATAGAGCCCCCCCCCCCCAGTCATGCGCGGGTTAAGTCGAGTAATGTCGAATCATGCTTATCAAGCGAAGTCTTACAACGGCTTGATTCAATATCAGTATGAGTCCTGATTGGTTTGTGGCGAATTTGCGGTAACTGAGCTGCTCATCTTAAAATTAACCCGCGAGTGACTGGGGTATTTTCCATAAAGCGGTTGACTACGGGGGATTAAAAAGAGCCCCTCCCCCCCCCCCCAATACCTCCGAAACCTCCGGGCCGATTGTCAAAATTCAAACGGCTCTGTTGGCCCTAGACAAACTGCCGAACGAAACATAGTTTCATCGAACTCGAGGTCACCAATGACGTCACAGGTCAGGTCAAAGTAAGAATTATCAACATTTTGGCTTGTTCACAAAATGGGCTCTGCGCGCCGGCTTACAAGTCTGATCAGGCTCATTTTTGGTTCACACACTCATTGATATATGCATATGGTACCTTGGGCGAAACCAGCTTGTACTTCGAATTTTTTCAGATTAAGGCCAGGTCATTCTGGGCAACGGAAATGTTATATCATGTTTCAGTCACGTGACACACGTTTTATGGTCTATTTCAGCTATAGGTTTCGAAAACAGTCTCGTTCGTGTCATTTGAGGCCATTGCAGCTGAAGAGAGCTGAAGTCAGGTCACTTTCAAGTAAAAAAGGTCAAATTTTGAGGTTGAATGTTTTTGTTGAGGTCAGCCAATAGCAGAGCGTGCCAGTTTAAAGGTAGTGTGCCAGCTTTCTTGGACCGTATGGAGTTAATGGCCCAGATAAGGAGAACCGGATTTTTAGAACTTATCCATACCTTCAAAACTCATGGAAACGTCTTAAATTCTTCAAATTTTGAGTACCCCAGTGCGAAATTCGCCCCGACGGGTTGTCGGTCGTACCCCAACCACATTTCACACCACTATGAACAATAAATGCACACACTGAAATCGCTATTACCGATATGCTCATCCAATCAAGTTTCGATAAACCCGTTCATCATCATCTCCTGCGGTTTCGAACACGCCTGTTAGGTGGCTTCTGATGCTCGTCGAGGTCGGAATTTCCAAATACGCGTGGTGCGTCGGGCCGCGCGCTCTGACTTCGGCCAAGAAAAATGCGTCAGCTGATCATTGTCATTTCTGCCACTTGCTTGCGTGTGGTGAAATGGGGTCATAACTTATAAGACGGCTTTTTCATATCAATTATTTTACATAAAATCATATTTCAAACCATAAATAATGTTCGACAGCCAAATAAAAGAAACAATACAATACGGGCTTACAGTTTAAGGCTCGACATTGTGTTGTCTACGATTAGACAGCTGATAACTCATTCCCGTACGTCGTATGGTCGTAACACTATAATGACCTTTGCTTATTGTCACAAGTGCGCCGCATTCGCGATTGTTGCCCGACGCCTGTTTGCAGGTGAGCCCACTACAGTTGTTATACATATCTAAAAACCGAAAAACTTTTAGGCGAAAAAGGCACTATTCCAGGCCCATTTTTGATTTTTTTGCGATATTAGGTAAAAACAGAAGCTTCTTATCCTAGGAAAAATAAAATGGGAAATCTTTCAAAGGTGGCACACTACCTTTAATGAAATTTCAACAGTTACCGAAAGCGTCAGTATCACTAGTGTCCGCTAGCAGCGTTCCGTGTAACGGGCCTGAACAGCGATTGAAATGAAGCATCGTGCGGGCACCAGCACCTGAGACATCTGACAAAGTCACCCGACCTGGCATCAAATGACTTGTTTGCTCCGGAAGATAAATGATTTTTCTGCATGGCGGTGATTTGGTGACAGCAATGACGTTCACGAGGTGAAGCAGTGATTTACGGGGCAGTTGGAAGTGTTCAATAACGGTGGTCTGAGGCAGCTAGAAAACTATATGAAAATTTGTGTTAACCCGCGCCCCAGTGTCAGTCTGGATTTTCCACGACCTGGTGTGGGGGGGGGGGTGTTTGAATACCCCCCTTTTAACTCGGCTCCTGGGCCACGTAGCGACACGCGGTAAGCGGCAATCGAAAGAACGTCAAAAATAAGGACGAAAACGCTTCGGTCATTTTTTGGGTCAGGTCAAAGGTCAGGTCACCAGAGGTCACCAAAGGTAAAATGTTGACTATTTCAACATTTTGGAAATTGCCAACGGCTATCTCCGGAACCGATAGAGCTACAGCGCTGCGGAAAAACGCATTCGATAGCTCTTTTACAGACCTTTCTGAGTAATGTTCTCAGATTTGACCTCAGGTCAACGGTTTAGCCTCCAGAGGGGAAAAACTCCAAAAATAGCCGTTTTTACGAAAATCGGTTTTTCGGCGATAACTTTTAACTCAAAAGAGCCATGACATTACTTTTGCCAGCATCGTGTTTCTCTCGTCGAGACGCGTCGAATGAACTATAAGTTGACCTTGAAAGGTCAACTTGAAAATTTGACCTCAGGTCAAGGTCATGACCTGACCGGAAAAGGTCATGTTGCATATCAGTCGATCCGCAACGTCGAGCCGTACACATCTAAGGCGTTTTCAGCGCTCTAGCACGCCTCTATCAGTAGTTGTTAGCGAAAAAGTGTTAGATTCTGTTCGTGACCTGAGATGACCTCGGGGACACAACGATGACCACAGTTGCCATTTTCCGGTTCAGTGTCTCAATTTTACCTACATCTCGATGTATGAGAGTGTCTAGAATAGCGTTCGTGCGAAACAGACGCTTTTCAATTTTCTCCCATTGACTTATAATGACCTGACCGCAAAATTGACCTGACCTTAGGTCACCGATATCAAAATTCCGAGATGAACATTTTATAGATACTGTTACCCTCATCAATCCCTGAAAGTTTCAAAGTGATCGGTCACTCGGTGTACCTATGGCAAACATTGAAACTTTTTATGAGGTGAGGTCACTTCAAGTGACCTGGTGACCTGACCTTGAATGACCTTGGTCTGAAATTTTCACAACATGTGTGGAATTGATGTATGATAAGGTGTACCAAAAACGGCGGCGCTCCGCGCCGCCGTTTTTGAAATATCTACGAAAAACCGGACGGGGGGGTGTTCAAACACCCTCCCCCCACACTTGGGCGCGGGTTAATAGTTTTGTATGCTAGCTTTTGGAGATGTAGGTAGTAACTAGTAATGTGAAACAAATGTCAGTTTTTCTTGTTCCTTCGTTTTCGCATTGGCTATTTTTATGGTCTTTCGCTCAAGAACGAACGTGTTATTTTCAGTTTGATCGGTTACGAGCTGTAATCCCTGATCACTCAGATTCATTCATTTATTTCAGCAGTTTATTGTCTCGATGCTTCATGAAAGCACAACAATGCACATTACTTATACAAAATATGGTGAAATATGCCAATGCAAGTAGCAAAAACGCCAACACACTCAATAACATCACCATTTAAAGCTCAAACTGCAAACAGCTGCATGGCCGCAGCTCCCTGAAACGGTACCACGGCCCTGGTAATACAGGACCGGGCCCGGGACTCCAACCCTACCACGAGGAGAGCGTTCCATCTCTGATGAAGGAGGGACGTCCCACCCCAACCGACCGATCGCCGCTGTCCGCTCAGATTTTCAGCAGCACGTGCCATGCCATGGCTGACCGCCGCTGTCCGCTCAGATTTTCAGCAGCCGCGCCAGGTGAACGGCCACCTTCTCGCGGACCGCCTTGTCCAGCGCGTCCCTCGCCTTGCCCTCGATCTTGCCCTTGTTCTTGCCCCACCACTTGTTGGCCAGCTTGGTGGTGATCTTGCTGGCCGGATCTCCGAAGAGCCGGTTGAAGAAGCCGATGGCGCCGCGCAGGTTGGCCTTGACGCGGATGCTGGCCAGGTTGAGGGAGACCCTGGTGCCGCTGGCGGTGACCGTGATCCGGCCGTCACCGCCCACGTGCACGTTGAGGGTGGTGGTGAGAGAGCCGACCGTGCGGCCGACGCGCACCTCGGGTCGGCCGCGCACGGAGACGCACACCTTCTTGAAGATGACCTTCTTGCACTTGCGGATCTTGGCGTCGAGCTTGCCGTTGATGTGCGGCCAGCTGATGGTGGCCCTGACGGCGATCTGCTGATCGGAGGGGAACGACACCGACAGGCCGTCGACGCTGTAGCCGGAGATGCCGTGGACTCGGATGTTGGACAGCTCGACGTCGCCGTCCCGGTTGTTGGGCAGACGGAGAGGGTCGGCCTCCTGGGCCACCTTGGGCCGCGCCTCGACCAGCAGCTGTTTGATGCAGTCGCTCAGGCCGGCTGGGTCACCGAGGTCACAGTTGGCCGTGCCCTGGGCGTCACTGGCGGCCAGCAGGGCGGCCAGTCCGAGTAGCAGCAGCGGTGCGGCTCTCATGGTGCTGAGAGGTGCCGAGAGTCGGGTCTGTGGACGGGTGTGTGCGGAGCGGGGCTCGCTCAGCGGACTGACGAACTGCTCCCCGCGGCCGGCCGATATATACCCCGCCGGACGGATGATTCAGATAAACAGTTTCGCCAGTGCTGCACCTCCCGGGCCGGCCCTGCGACGGACAGCACGCACCAGCCGTGTTTTGGGATTTCCGTGTCCCGTCGCGCCACGCGAGAAGAAGAGGACGGGGCATCGGCGTTCATGGTTTCCAAATTCCAGGAGGCATTAAAGCTGATCGTTGCCTTTTCACGCGTGTCAGGTCGAAACAGTAAGTCGCACTCTGTTCCCTTTTTACTTGATATTTGTTCTGCCATTGTCAGAACTATTAATAACCCGCGCGTGCCTGGGGTATTTTCCATAACGCGAGTGACTAGGGGGAGGCTACGGAGCCCCCTCCTATCTCCGAAACTACTGGGCCGATCGTCAAAATTTAAACGGCGTCTGATAGCGCTGGAAAAACTGTCGAGCAAAGCTTAATTTCATCAACCTCGAGGTTATCGATGACGTCACAGGTAAGGTCAAAGTGGAAACTATTTGCATTTTACCTTGTTTACAATTTAGGCTCTGGCCGCTAGCTCACAAGTCTGATCAGGCTCATTTGTGACTTACGCACTCCTTGATATATGCCTTAGATGCAATGAGGGCACCGAACTTGCACTTCGAGTTTTTCATGTCAAGGCAAGATCATCTTAGGTGACGGAAATTTTATGTAATGTATCGGTCACGTGACACATGTTTTATGGTATATGTCAGCTATCTATTTCGAAAACATTGTCTCCTGTGTCATTTAAGACCATTTGCAGCTGAATACAGCTGAGGTCAGGTCTTTTTCAGGTCAAAAAGGTCAAATTTGAGAGAAGTAAGTTTCGAAAATTCAACAATTTTGAAAATCCGGGATCACAGTTTGATAGCCAGCTGCATTTATAGTCTTTTCATGCAAAGAAATTGTTTCTAGCTTAAAAACTGAACTCTTGAGTGCGATTGCCGTAGTTCAATGTTTGCATCAAAATCGGCCGACATGACATCACTCTGACGTCATTTCTGGTCGATCTCTGGTATTTAAGAAATTGTAAGTTTGACACAAGGTGTTACATTAATGCAGCTAAAAGCACTGCCAGCGTGTTGATCGTTCAGTGTTTTAGAAGATGTTACAGAAAAACGGGAGGGGGCTCTTTAGAGCTCCCCCCCCCCCCAGTCATGCGCGGGTGAAGTCGAGTAATGTCAAATCATGCTTATCAAGCGAAGTCTTACAACGGTTCGATTCAATATCAGTATGAGTCCTTATTGGCTTGTGGCGAATTCGCGGTAACTGAGCTGCTCATCGCGCATGACGGGTATTTTCCATAAAGCGGCTGACTACGGGGGATTCGAAAGAGCCCCTCCCCCTTCATATCTCCGAAACTACCGAGCCGATTGTCAAAATTCAAACGGCTCTGTTGGCCCTAAACAAACTGCCGACCGAAACCTAGTTTCATCGACCTCGAGGTCACCAATGACGTCACAGGTCAGGTCAAAGTAAGAATTATCAACATTTTGGCTTGTTCACAAAATGGGATCTGCGCGCCGGCTTAGAAGTCTGATCACGCTCATGTTTGGTTCACACACTCATTGATATATGCCTATGATACCTTGGGCGAAACTAGCTTGTACTTCAAATTTTTCAGATTAAGGCCAGGTCATTCTGGGCAACGGAAATGTTATATCATGTTTCAGTCACGTGACACACGTTTTATGGTCTATTTCAGCCATAGGTTTCGAAAACAGTCTCGTTCGTGTCATTTGAGGCCATTGCAGCTGAAGAGAGCTGAGGTCAGGTCACGTTCAAGTAAAAAAGGTCAAATTTTGAAGTTGAATGTTTTTATTGAGGTCAGCCAATAGCAGAGCGTGCCAGTTAATGAAATTTCGGCATGGCGGTGATTCAATGACAGAAATGACGTCGTTCACGAGGTGAAGCAGTGATTTGCGGGGCAGTTGATTGTGTTCTACAACGGTGAACTGCGGCAGCTCTAAAACTATAGGACGATAGGCGTTATCACAAGTGTATTCGCGGCCATTGGGGCGACGTAAGAAAAGAAGAAAACAACTGGCCCCAAGAACTTTAAATTATCAGTTAGCATGCACCTTTTCCTTGATCTGTAGAGAATTTACCGATAATTGCTAGAGAAAATTGCATTTAAAATCTTCCATCTATGCTTTTTTCATCGTTTGCACAATATGTTCTTTTATTAAGCTAGAAACACTAATTAGAAATAGTTCCCGCATCATCAAGAACAATAAGGAAGGCTTGAAGTGAATACAATAATATAAACGGTGTTGTAATCTATGTGAAGACACTTCCAAAATTGCCTGTAGAAATATTGAAGGCAAAAGTTGAACTTTTTCACAAGACGGATGTCTATAAACCTATTCAACGTGTGACAACTCAGCCGGTATTTCGTCGCCTACAGCCCAGCTTTCACTAGTGACCGATAGAGGCGCTGCTATCGATGTCCGCCCGTGCCGCCTAACGAAAATGTGTGTTTATAATAGCATGGTATGCTAACTTCTGGAGATGTAAGTTGTAACTATGTGAAACAAATGTCAGTATTTCTTGTTCCTTCGTTTTCGCATTGGCTATTTTTATGGTATTTTGCTCAAGAACGAACATGTAATTTTCGGCTTGATCGGTTACTAGTTGTAATCCCTGATCACTCAGACTCATTCAGTTACTTCAGCAGTTTATTGTCTTGATGCTTCATGAAAGCACAGCAATGCACATTACTCATAAAAAATATGGCGAAATATGTCAGTGCCAGTAGCAAAAACGCTAACACACTCAAAAACATCACCATTTAAAGCTTTACTGCAAACAACCTCATGGTCGCAGTTCCCTGAAGCGGTACCACGGTCCTGGTAAAACAGGACCAGGACCCACCCTACCACGCGGAGAGCGTCCACCTCTGTTGAAGGCGGGACGCCCCACAACGACCGACAGACCGCCGCTGTCCGCTCAGATTTTCAGCAGCACGTGCCATACCGTTGCTAACCGCCGCTGTCCGCTCAGATTTTCAGCAGCTGCGCCAGGTGAACGGCCACCTTCTCTCGGACCGCCTTGTCCAGCGCGTCCCGCGCCTTGCCCTCGATCTTGCCCTTGTTCTTGCCCCACCACTTGTTGGCCAGCTTGGTGGTGATCTTGCTGGCCGGATCTCCGAAGAGCCGGTTGAAGAAGCCGATGGCGCCGCGCAGGTTGGCCTTGACGCGGATGCTGGCCAGGTTGAGGGAGACCCTGGTGCCGCTGGCGGTGACCGTGATCCGGCCGTCACCGCCCACGTGCACGTTGAGGGTGGTGGTGAGAGAGCCGACCGTGCGGCCGACGCGCACCTCGGGTCGGCCGCGCACGGAGACGCACACCTTCTTGAAGATGACCTTCTTGCACTTGCGGATCTTGGCGTCGAGCTTGCCGTTGATGTGCGGCCAGCTGATGGTGGCCCTGACGGCGATCTGCTGATCAGAGGGGAACGACACCGACAGGCCGTCGACGCTGTAGCCGGAGATGCCGTGGACTCGGATGTTGGACAGCTCGACGTCGCCGTCCCGGTTGTTGGGCAGACGGAGAGGGTCGGCCTCCTGGGCCACTTTGGGCCGCGCCTCGACCAGCAGCTGTTTGATGCAGTCGCTCAGGCCGGCTGGGTCACCGAGGTCACAGTTGGCCGTGCCCTGGGCGTCACTGGCGGCCAGCAGGGCGGCCAGGCCGAGCAGCAGCAGCGGGGCGCCTCTCATGGTGCTGAGAGGTGCCGTGACTCGGGTCTGTGGACGGGTGTGTGCGGAGCGGGGCTCGCTCAGCGGACTGACGGGCTCCTCGCGGCCGGCCGATATATACCCCGCCGGACGGATGATTCAGATACCTAAACAGTTTCGCGAGCGCAGCGCCTCCCGGGCCCGGCCCTGCAGCGGGACAGCACGCACCAGCCGTGTTTTGGGATTTCCGTGTCCCGTCGCGCAACGCGAGAAGAAGAGGACGGGGCATCGGCGTTCATGGTTTCCAAATTCCAGGAGGCATTAAAGCTGATCGTTGCCTTTTCACGCGTGTCAGGTCGAAACAGTAAGTCGCACTCTATTCCCTTTTTACTTGATATTTGTTCTGCCATTGTCAGAACTATTAACCCTCGCACGACCAGGCCATTTCTCATAACACGAACGACCAGGGGGGGGGGGGGTTGTAACGACCCCCCCCCTGGCGTTTCGAAACGGAAGGTCGTAGAGCTTAGCGGAAAAAACCAACGGATTGCTCTCAACGAGATCTCGCGATTGGTGGTATATTTTTGGTCCTAGGTCATTATTTGACCTACTTTTGACCGGTCAAAGGTCAAATTTTCGGAAAATAGACCTTTTTCAACTTTCCGCGGCGATTGCGGCAAAACGGTGGGAGATATCGACTTGAAACCTTCACTATCGTGTTTCTTGATCAATTTTCTATCGTTTGGTATGTATTTCGTTTCCCTAGCTCTAAAAATGGCGCGTTGGGAGCGCCGGAAGTCGGCAAGGTCACAGTCGGCGGCAGAAATTCGAAAAATCAAAATTTAAATTTTTGAAATCTGATTGTATTTTTGGATTTGGGAGGTCCATTTGCTCCCTATGGAAGCTAATATTGCTGCATATTCCCATTGAGGTGACAAGAATTAGCAAAATAGTGGTTCGGGCGCTTTTCAAAAATAGTACCGGACGCTGTTCCCCTTGTGACGTCATAGCTCCGTGACCTGACCTGACCCGGTCAATTTTCTTGCACCACACGATAGCCAATGCTTTCCCCAACATGCATGGGAAGTTTCATCATGATCCATCAAACAATGTGGGTATCACCGGCAGAAAACCTAGGGATTCGGCGCACACGTTTGGTAACTGTCGGCCGGAGGCTGTACCTCTTATGACGTCATAACTCCGTGACCTGACATGACCCGATCAATTTTTTTCGGCAAAAGATGCGCAAAGGTTGCCCCAGAGGGTATTGAAAATTTCAGCCCGCTACGACAAGCCGTTTAGCGTGCACTTCGAAAAAACCTCAGGGGGGGGGGTTGATACAACCCCCCCTAGGCGTTCTAGGGTTAATAACCCGCGCGTGCCTGGGGTATTTTCCATAACGCGAGTGACTAGGGGGAGGCTACGGAGCCCCCTCCTATCTCCGAAACTACTGGGCCGACCGTCAAAATTTAAACGGCGTCTGATAGCGCTGGAACAACTGTCGAGCAAAGCTTAATTTCATCAACCTCGAGGTTATCGATGACGTCACAGGTAAGGTCAAAGTGGAAACTATTTGCATTTTACCTTGTTTACAATTTAGGCTCTGGCCGCTAGCTCACAAGTCTGATCAGGCTCATTTGTGACTTACGCACTCCTTGATATATGCCTTAGATGCAATGAGGGCACCGAACTTGCACTTCGAGTTTTTCATGTCAAGGCAAGATCATCTTAGGTGACGGAAATTTTATGTAATGTATCGGTCACGTGACACATGTTTTATGGTATATGTCAGCTATCTATTTCGAAAACATTGTCTCCTGTGTCATTTAAGACCATTTGCAGCTGAATACAGCTGAGGTCAGGTCTTTTTCAGGTCAAAAAGGTCAAATTTGAGAGAAGTAAGTTTCGAAAATTCAACAATTTTGAAAATCCGGGATCACAGTTCGATAGCCAGCTGCATTTATAGTCTTTTCATGCAAAGAAATTGTTTCTAGCTTAAAAACTGAACTCTTGAGTGCGATTGCCGTAGTTCAATGTTTGCATCAAAATCGGCCGACATGACATCACTCTGACGTCATTTCTGGTCGATCTCTGGTATTTAAGAAATTGTAAGTTTGACACAAGGTGTTACATTAATGCAGCTAAAAGCACTGCCAGCGTGTTGATCGTTCAGTGTTTTAGAAGATATTACAGAAAAACGGGAGGGGGCTCTTTAGAGCTCCCCCCCCCCCCCCAGTCATGCGCGGGTGAAGTCGAGTAATGTCAAATCATGCTTATCAAGCGAAGTCTTACAACGGTTCGATTCAATATCAGTATGAGTCCTTATTGGCTTGTGGCGAATTCGCGGTAACTGAGCTGCTCATCGCGCATGACGGGTATTTTCCATAAAGCGGCTGACTACGGGGGATTCCAAAGAGCCCATCCCCCCTCATACCTCCGAAACTATACCGGGCAGCTTGTCAAAATTCAAACGGCTCTGTTGACCCTAGACAAACTGCGGAACGAAACCTAGTTTCATCGAACTCGAGGTCACCAATGACGTCACAGGTCAGGTCAAAGTAAGAATTATCAACATTTTGGCTTGTTCACAAATTGGGCTCTGCGCGCCGGCTCACAAGTCAGATCAGGCTCATTTTTGGTTCACACCCTCATTGGTATATGCTTATGGTACATACCTGGGGCTAAATTAGCTTGTACCTCGAATTTTTCAGATTAAGGCCAGGTCATTCTGGGCAACGGAAATGTTATATCATTTTTAGTCACGTGACACACGTTTTATGGTCTATTTCAGCCATAGGTTTCGAAAACAGTCTCGTTCGTGTCATTTGAGGCCATTGCAGCTGAAGAGAGTTGAGGTCAGGTGACTTTCAAGTAAAAAAATGTCAAATTTTGAAGTTGAATGTTTTTATTGAGGTCAGCCAGTAGCAGATCGTCCCAGTTAAATGAAATTTCAACAGTTACCGAAAGCGTCAGTATCACTAGTGTCCGCTAGCAGCGTTCCGTGCTACATGGGCCTGAACTGCGATTGAAGAAAAGCATGGTGTGGGCCCCAGTGCCTGAGACATCTAGACCTGGCATCAAGTGACTTGTTTGTTCCGGAAGATAAATAATTTTTCGGCATGGCTGTGCTTTGATGACAGAAATGACGTCGTTCACGAGGTGAAGCAGTGATTTGCGGGGCAGTTGATTGTGTTCTACAACGGTGAACTGCGGCAGCTTTAAAACTATAGGAAAATGTGTGTTTATAATAGTATTGTATGCTAACTTCTGGAGATGTAAATTGTAAGTTGTAACTATGTGAAACAAATGTCAGTATTTCTTGTTCCTTCGTTTTCGCATTGGCTATTTTCATGGTATTTTGCTCAAGAACGAACGTGTGATTTTCAGTTTGATCGGTTGCTAGTTGTAATCCCTGATCAGTGATCACTCAGACTCATTCAGTTACTTCAGCAGTTTATTGTCTCGATGCTTCATGAAAGCGCAACAATGCACATTACCCATACAAAATATGGTGAAATATGTCAGTGCAAGTAACAAAAACGCCAACACGCCAACATCACCATTTAAAGCTCAAACTGCAAACCTCATGGCCGCAGCTCCCTGAAGCGACACCACGGCCTTGATAAAACAGGGCCGGGCCCGGACCTCCTTTCCACCTCGCGAGTCGCGAAGAGTGTCCATCTCTGTTGAAGGAGGGACGCCCCACCTCGACCGACCGACCGCCGCTGTCCGCTCAGATTTTCAGCAGCACGTGCCATGCCATTGCTGACCGCCGCTGTCCGCTCAGATTTTCAGCAGCCGCGCCATACCATTGCTGACCGCCGCTGTCCGCTCAGATTTTCAGCAGCTGCGCCAGGTGAACGGCCACCTTCTCTCGGACCGCCTTGTCCAGCGCGTCCCTCGCCTTGCCCTCGATCTTGCCCTTGTTCTTGCCCCACCACTTGTTGGCCAGCTTGGTGGTGATCTTGCTGGCCGGATCTCCGAAGAGCCGGTTGAAGAAGCCGATGGCGCCGCGCAGGTTGGCCTTGACCCGGATGCTGGCCAGGTTGAGGGAGACCCTGGTGCCGCTGGCGGTGACCGTGATCCGGCCGTCGGCGCCCACGTGCACGTTGAGGGTGGTGGTGAGAGAGCCGACCGTGCGGCCGACGCGCACCTCGGGTCGGCCGCGCACGGAGACGCACACCTTCTTGAAGATGACCTTCTTGCACTTGCGGATCTTGGCGTCGAGCTTGCCGTTGATGTGCGGCCAGCTGATGGTGGCCCTGACGGCGATCTGCTGATCGGAGGGGAACGACACCGACAGGCCGTCGACGCTGTAGCCGGAGATGCCGTGGACTCGGATGTTGGACAGCTCGACGTCGCCGTCCCGGTTGTTGGGCAGACGGAGAGGGTCGGCCTCCTGGGCCACCTTGGGCCGCGCCTCGACCAGCAGCTGTTTGATGCAGTCGCTTAGGCCGGCTGGGTCACCGAGGTCACAGTTGGCCGTGCCCTGGGCGTCACCGGCGGCCAGCAGGGCGGCCAGGCCGAGCAGCAGCAGCGGGGCGGCTCTCATGGTGCTGAGAGGTGCCGTGACTCGGGTCTGTGGACGGGTGTGTGCGGAGCGGGGCTCGCTCAGCGGACTGACGGGCTCCTCGCGGCCGGCCGATATATACCCCGCCCGACGGATGATTCAGATAAACAGAGTGGGCAGAGCGGCACCTCCCGGGCCCGTCCCTGCGACGGGACAGCACGCAACAGCCGTGTTTTGGGATTTCCGTGTCCCGTTGCGCCGCGCGGGAAGAAGGGAAGGGGGCATCGGCGTTCATGGTTTCCAAGAGGCATCAAAGCTGATCGTTGCCTTCTCGCGCGTATCGGGTCGAAACAATAAGCCGCACTTCATTCCCTTTTAGTCTATATTTGTTCTGTCATTGCCAGAACTTTTCTGTCAAGTCGAATAAAGTCGAATAATGCTTATCAAGCGAAGTCTTGCAACGGTTCAATTTAATATGGATATGAGCCCTTACTGGTTTTGTGGCGAGTTGGCGTGGTGACTGAGCTGCTCATCTAAATGTCACCTTTCTTGCGGTCCATTCCCGCACACAGTAAATGTGAGAACCTTATGAGTTCTGTCGTTATTGCCTTCAAACAAAAGTAATGAATGATGGACCAATGCGTAAGCATAAGCAATAAACCATGTTTTTGGGGACCAGAATCATACGTGTAACTGCTTGCTTTTATGTATGACTCCAGTGTTCCCAGCGACAATAAAATGTTAAACCGCGTATTGCTTACGTACCAAGTCATGAAATATTGTACTTCAATATCAGTCGTTTTTTCAGCTAGTCACAATGTTGATTCGTCCAACGCATCGAAAGTATGAAAATGGCTACATCTCAGGGTTTTTGACACACCATAAGATGACACACCGTAAGTTTCAGTTTAACCATAGGTTTGACACACCATAAGTTTCAGTGCTAGGCATTTCTAGTCATTCTTGTCAAGTAACAAGATCACGTCGAGGGAAATAGCCTCCAGAAAATTAGTATTTTCGTCATAGCTAAACCAACTGAACGTTTGCATTGAATATTCAACCCGGCAGGCGGTGGGCCTACCAGCCACCTTCCGCGCGGTGGGGGGGGGGGGGCACTTTTTTGCCCCCCCCCGTATCTCCGAAACTACTGGACGGATCCGGAAAATTCAAACGGCGTTCGATAGCCCATTTGTTGAGGGAAACCAAATTTCATTGACCTCGGGGTCACCGATGACGTCACAGGTCAGGTCAAAGATAAAATGTTTCACCGTTCACGGGGCTTCCAGGGAAAGCGCTATAACACCGAGTAAAACGCATTTTGTCGAAAATCAGCGATAAGGCGTCAGTTGTCTAGTACATATGTTGCTATTAGAGGTCACTGTTCATACCAGGTCAGGTCACAGGTCAGGTCACCAAAGGTCACCAAGGTCACCACATGAGCCCAACTTTACTAAGGTTATGCGATGCATGTGTTATGGCCAGTTTTTCATTTCCAACTCAATGGTGTTGGTTATAAGACCATCAGGTAAGGTTAAGGTCACTTTCTGGTGGAGGTCAGGTCAAGGTCAGGTCAAAAAAGGTCAAATTTCAAACTTGATATTTTTGCATAAAATGGGTATCGATTCGATGCAGCTCGACACGGGGAGTCTAATGGTGGTCTTTGTTTTGCGCTACGAGGTCTAGAATTGCTAAAAATTGAGTTTGAAAATTTGACGTTGAACAGTTTTTTCGCTATAACTTGGCCAAAAAAAGAGGTATCGATCTCAAATTTGGTATGTAGATAGAAGGCGGTAGGGGCTATATCACATATATTCCGGTTTTTTTTCGAAATTCAGAAAACTTTTGGATTTTTTGGCTATTATATTCAAAAGATCTATTTTTTATTTTTGGGGGTCAAAATCCAAAAAATTCGAAAAACCGAAATAGCGGTTTTGTAGCCCTGTTAATTCCACACCTTTTATGTCTTAAACATTTTTCTGTATCTCTAAAGCTGTAGGCCTGACAGCTCTTCCCGCGAAACCTTTTTTTGGGTCGAAAATGGCAAAAATGACGTCACTCTGACGTCATTAGCGGCCAACCTATCATAGCCTTTGGAAAATTTTTTGGTCACCATGTGCGCTAGCTGCTCCCGGGAGGGTACTGAAAGTTTGGTGACGATCGGCGCAGCGGTTCTCGAGATATATCGAAAAAACTAAAGGGGGGCAAAAAAATGCCCCCCACCGCCTGGAAGGTTAACGATTGATTAGGGTCACAGTTTGTCACATATATTTCTATCAGATTGTGTATCGCTCAAGCATGTGAGTCGCTGTTCTCTCGGTCGCTCTGAACGCGGTCGCTATTTTGAGTAAATCGCTGGTTTCCGGTCCTTGTTTTGAAGTCGCCCTTTCCTGAATAGCTGTTTGCGTACGCTGGCACTTTTACTTATAAGGGGGTCGGATGGACCCTAGCGGTTTTTCGCAAATAACTCGCAAAAAAGTGGCTCAATGCGACCAAACTTTCAGCTCCCTCAAGTAAATCAAGTTTGCACTTACTCTGAAAATTGTATGATCTGACCCAACTGACCTTTGACCTGTGACCTGTTTCTCGAGATCATATCAGGCTGGAATCTCGGTTCGACGTATGTCAATTGTCAACGCATACTATCCGTGCGTTTCCAGACTTTTTTGTGATTAGAAACGTGGCAGTGTGTTAAAAGACTGAAAATGTCTGAAACTGAAAGAAATGTTTGTGTGAAACGATTGAGAACCGAAAAACTTCTACGTATATTTCTTCATTGCTCTTTATCTAGCTAACTCTTCTCCATTTTTAAGTCCTAGTGAAAACATTCGACAACTTAGAGACTTCCGGAACACATCTAAATCCCCGATTCTCTTACCGTCGCAGCTGGCTGAGAAACATATGCAATATGCATGTATTGCACATTATTTCAGCATCGAAAACATCCACAGTGTTCGGGAAAAACAGGAGCCACGATGTTGGAAACCGCAGCTGCTGATTGATGCAATTGTGCGCCCGCAGCTGTCGCAGTGCCACCCGGGCTGGGTCATATGACGCCGGATGTGGTCCCGGGTTCGTCCTGTGTTATGATTTTCTGGGCCTGTCCAGTTGGGACCCGCCTGCCCTCCCCTCGGGCGGGGGGGGGGGGCGCCTGCGGGCTCGCTCTCAGCGGCGGCGGCGCAGTACCGGCGGCGGTGCTGACGTCACAAGTCGCCCCTCCCCCCCTCCCCCCGTGGGAGGTCCAGCCGCTGCCACCCCACGGCCCACACTGGGTCATTCCGGCAATTTTGCGGGTACTCCCGGTGCGGCGCAGCGTTCGGTGCTGGGCCTTTCCGGGTGGCGGCTGCAGAGGGTAGTGGAGTGCAAAATGGCTGATAATAGTCCGACGAGCGAGTGATGGCAGTAGATGACGGCTTCGGCTCAGCTGGGAATGAACGTTGTATATGCTATAGTAAGGGCCTGGAATGAACGTTGTATATGCTATAGTAAGGGCTTGGAATGAACGTTGTATATGCTATAGTAAGGGCTTGGAATGAACGTTGTATATGCTTGTAGCGAGGGATAACTTTCCCCATTGCGTTTAGAATGTTGAAATGCACAATGGTCGTTCAACTCACCGCAAATATCATGAGAATTAGGTATGAATTACCGTGGCATGCAGAAACTCATGGGTTACCTATGGAGCTCTTGCGACCCGGGGCCAGAAACCATTTGGGCTGCATACCTACTGACGGGGATAAATAATCGCAAAATGGACACGCACACAAAGATCGATACAAAAGTAAAGCACATGAACGAAAAATACATGCTTTGAAGTCTTTAGTCGCCATCATTAGTCCTTTGACGTTCACGCCATTGTGAATCCAGTTACGCTCCAAAGCAAAAGTCATTGTTTATAAACATCCAGACAATAAAAACACCACTTGATGAGATATGTCATCATATCCTAATCACAAGCGTCAAGCCGTGGCTCTATACCTACCAGATAATTTGAGCCGTGAATATAGCTATTCTAATACTGCTTGCCTGGCCTATTCAAATACCTTAGTCAGAGAGGTATGGTGTAAACTGATGTAATCAAATTAACCACGGCCAAAAATGGTACACCAGTTTGCACCAGCACACCACGAGTGTAGCGGCAGCACCACCCGTGGTACCGTCAAACATTCCTTCAGCGGCAACCCCCCCCCCCCCGGCTGCAGGAACGCTGACGTCACTGGACGGCAATGACGTCATAGTGGGCATGCCGGCTGCGCAGTATGCGTTGATGGCGAGAGTCGTTTGAGAACTGCAACGGCTGGTCAGGTAGGCTTTCCCGACAATTTGACACCCGGTGACTCACGGTCAAGTCCGTTGTCCAGTAAAGGGAAGAACACATGTGTTCTTTTCAGACTACGTAAGGTTTTAAGTCATTAACCCTCTAGTGCCCCCGGTATCATATCTGTAAGTCAATTTGCAGAAAATTCGCGTGCTAATCCTGAAGGCGAAAATTGTTGAAAACCCTGCTGTATCAGAAGTGGTACGTCTTGGTAACCACCTGGTGGCAAAATTTTTAAGTAATGATTTCTCAGTTTCCCACCAGGTGATTTTGAAGAGGGTCAGTTTGTCCTTTGCTGAAAAGCTATTTGAGATGCAAGTGTAAATTTTAGCATTTGAAAAACAAAGAAATAGTTATTTGGAAAAAAACTTGGTATACTGTGAGACAAATGTCCAGCATTTATCACAGTATGTTGCAATACATCGCAGCTATTTCAGGGTCAAAGATATGGACCCCTAATTTGGGGGATACTAGATATGATACAGTGGGCATAGCACTTCAATATTTTCTATGAAATTTTCGCCGCTGCAACATACGGTGTGCCAATACCATAAGTTTTCTCAGGTGATAAGCATTGCAATGGCCTGTGAGTCATTGAAAATGACGATGGTACAAGATGCATAACTTTGTGAAGTTCGCACCTCTGGCGTCAGATAACTCTATTTCGCTCCAGACTCGATATTTCATAACGATATTCGTACGCCTATGCCGCCTCTCATCCTTGTCAATCACCTAACATCTAGCTGCCCATGAGTGGCCTTACATGCCTCATACATCTCGACTTTTCTAACGCTCATAGGAATCTGGTTTTCCAACTGTTTGACGATGATAACAGTGAACTTTTTGATCTGCAGGACACTAGCAGACCATATCTTCTAAAACCACGTTAGGAATGACATGCCATCGATGACAAGCTTGTTGATTTCAAGGGACGATCATCCGTGCAAGCATTTATGCTTGTGAAACCAAAAATTGAGACTTGACTATGTATGTTTGGGAAAGGAGGATTCAGCGGTCTCTTGCACAATTTCGATATTCCAACAGGGTTTGTGGACGGGCTTATGTCTTGTGGGTCTATGTCTTAGCTGGGCATGGCCGAAGACTTGCATTAGCAGCCAGCCAGCTCTTTTCATTCATACTGGAGAACGACTCACAATTTGTTTGCGATTCAAATCCCCTCCGTTCATCCCAGTATTAAGAGATTGAATGTGGAGTGGAAAACTACACCGTCATCGTCAGAGGAAGCTAGCTAAACGGACTCGCCATGAAGACAGACGTCAAGACCGAAGGACGTGGTTCCTTTGATTTACGCATCCAAGAAGTAGGCAACCATGCACTGCTGCCAGGATCCAGCAGGTGCCTGACACCTGGCAAACATTTTTACTGCCAGGTATGTCATTTGTTGTCATATATTGACATATGCCGCCAAGTATGGTAGCTGATTGCCACTGAACAAATAGGATTTATACTAAAACATGGACACTGACCATAAGAATACAAGTTAAAGTGCGGCATTGCGTACGCTCACCTCCATATGAGGTCAATGAACATTGTGCAAGTTCCTGCCGATCGGTACACAGTTACCTGTACCTTTGTTGTCTGACACGTACAACGGTTACTGCACTGGTCGCTGGTCAGTGCGCGGCTGTTGTACTGACGCCGATGACATGAGGACCGCACGACCAGTCAAACTGCTAACTGACGATTCACAGGCTGAGAGTTTCAGTCACCAGGGATTGTCCGGCTATCGTGAAGATAAACCAACATTCGTCTTTGGCATCGATTCCGGTCCGTCGGCAGGCTGTCCAGCATTTTGCATCAGAACTGCTTCACTTCGACCATCTACCGACCAACCGTAATGTCTTCATTTTTGTATCAAGTATGTATAATGCACGTTTGAGAAGCATGGCCCACATGTCTGAATTATGAAAAAATGCACAAGTGCAACGCGCTGTATCGTGGAAATTAAAGGAATAGAAGGCACTCGTAAAAAGATGCCTATGATTAGCGTTGTTCCCTTAGTACCGACTGAAAGGGCATTTTGATACAAGTAGGATGCCAATGAAATATTAAGAAAATGTTCTGATAAGTGGCGCACAGTAAAGGATTTCTTGTTTGCATTTTACACATTTTAACTGCCGCTTTTATCTCTGAAATTTTTCAAAACATATATCTTCTCATCTATGTCTTCACTTCCTTCTGTGTGGTCTGATACCACTAAAAATAACCAAGTGGAATGCCCAATGTATCATATTTGATACACAAATTATTTCCGAAATTTGAACTGCGAAAAATTTTTTGACTTCAGATTTCGAACAAGGGACCCAAAATGAATCATAGATCACGAGGTGCTAATTTTAGGAACCATGGAACTATGTGTGGGCATTAGAGGGTTAAGTTCGGAGATCTGGCCGCGCACTCCGAACGCTCAGTGCCCCTGATCCAGATATCTAGTGGCACCCTCGCTAGTTTAGAAGTCGGCTCATTTGTGACTTCGCTATAGTTCAGAGTTATAGTTGGAGCCGTTAGCAGCCGCAACGCCGTTTCGTAGTGACCGTAAATCTATGTTTGCTAGTGTTCAAAGGCTTTGCAATCTTTCTATTTAATAGTTCTTTTTATCGATAGGGATTTCTCGTTTGAGCTTCACGTTAATGTCTGTACGAGGCCACTACTGTCACGTCATGTCAAGAAGTCAGCTTTCTATAAAATTATAGTGGCGTAACGTAGTGCATGATCTATGGCTAGTTTTATGTTTGAAATTCGTTGGTTACGAGTATTTTGACCATAAGACACTAATAGTCAATGCCTCTTTCACGTCAAGTACAACCCAAACGAGGTTGAATTAACCTGTTCTTTTAGAATAAGAAGGATTTCCACCGAATTCAACTCAGTACTTATAACAAAGAACCCGCGAGGGTGGTCTAGATTTCACATTATGCGATTCAATTGAAACTTCGAAACTGAACCAGCGCTGGCGAACAAAGCAGAACAGCGACTCAGTACGTAATCCTGATGCAATATCGAGACATAATCACCGCTGCAGCAAATAAACGTGTATTTTCTGTGCATTTGAACAAACAACCGACGAATGAACCAGCTGTAACAATGAGTATAGGTGCGATAAGGCATTTTTGATTGTATTTACAAAGAATGAAGATAAAATAGTTTTAGGCTAACGATAGCATAGCATTACTGAGTAACATATAACCGCTAACCAGGCCTTATCAATTAGAACATAACACAACGACAGGCGATAGCTGAACAATATCAAATATTTATGTTAAGGACGGACACAGAAACTAGATAAATCACTTCTCATCTTCACATACTAAAACATACTCTTTACTTTTTTACATAGTACGTCATCGTCATCGTCACCGTCGCCGTCATCAGCGTCGTCATCGTCGTCATCGTCACTGCGCCTTTCCATCATCATCACCGATCGCCATCACTGCCTGTCGACGCCTTGGAGGCTTTCTCTGACGCCTGACAACCATTTCCTCCAGAGCTTCACTGACGCTCCAGCCGAAAAACGACAGCACGCGCTGATTGTGCCGACCATCCTCGTCTTCATCGTCGTGCAGATCGTGAATGAGTTTGCACTTGTCGCCGTACCTGCAGTTACCTCGAGTGAATTGTTCGCAGCAGTGAAGTCTCATGCAGTGTCCCTCGCAGCCCGATGGCCGGCTGAACATCATTTTGCAGACCTCGGGCTTCGGAGGAGAGCAGCTTTCTCGAAGTTTCAGCAGAAGTGTCATGTCGGGCTCGGTGGACCAGTCAGCAGCCCTCAGGAGCTTGGCGTTGTGTGAGACGCCCTTCAGCTTGTGGCTGAGGTTACAGACCTCCAGCGGGCAGTCGTCGAGGACGTAGCGGTAGCAGATGTGCAAGCGGGTGCATCTGGTGGTAGCACAGCGGCCGAGGTTGTACCTCATGCACACGCCGAAAGCATTGCGGTACTCCTGCTTCCGGAGTTCTTCCATCGCCAGGTTTAGGTCGTGATGAACATCCCACCCGGCCAGCTCCAGAAGTGAGATGTTTCTAGAACTTTCCAGCGTATGCTCTTTATCACATCCGGCTTTGCATTTGTTATGCAAAACGAAGGACAGGCACAGGTGAAGGGCTGGGCAGTTGGGGTGCACGCAGCCACCTTTCTCAGTGCTGTAAGCGCGACAGATGGCCGGAAGGCCGCTCCGTGCGGCCGATTCCTCGTCGACGTCCTCTGTATCCATCACCGGACCTGAAACAGACCGCGTGACAGAGGTGAGTGGCGCGGGAGGAATAGATAGGGTGCATGCACATTGCGCATGCACTTCGGCAAGTTATTCTGAGTCATTTATTATTTTTTATCCAATTATTTGTTTATTCATTTATTTATTTATCTATATGTTACCTCTTAATCAACTCAATATAAATTCCTTATTGTCTTTTATTTTTATGTTTCAATTTGTACAGGCTCTAAGGGAACGAAGCCTAGGCCATAGGGTTTGAAAATATCTATTGTTATGGACAAGTTTTGAGGTAGTTTGTCGACTTTTCACACCCGAATGACTTGGACACTCAAAAATCACATGCAAAAATATGATCTTTTGAAACTTGAACACTACATACGGAAAGGAATATAAGACATATTCAACTTGAGTAAACAAGAGGCGCTGACTCAAGTTAACACCGATATCAAAGAAGTTCAGAAATGAAACACTTGGTCTGATCGGCAACATTATAAGAAAAACTCTGACATGCAAATTTGACTCATTTTGACTGAATTTGACTCTTGTAGGTACCTGATTGTGATCCGAGGTGATGAGAGAGGGGTGGATCCGATTACAATTACTTCTGGTTGGGGCGCCCCTGTTTTGGTCAAAAAGACAGCAAGTGATAGTGTGAATGTAGTTAAAAGTTGTCTTAACAGCTCCTTTGTAAAAACTGCCATGTTTAAGACGCCGAAACTTACCTGTTGCGGATACTTTTGTCTCGCCCTGACGGGACGCGACACACTAGCTTTACCATTCCGCGAAAAAAGACAACACCGCCATACTCCTCACTTGCCGCGGTCAGCTGTTGCGGCTGACCTCTCATGGTCACGTGACCTGCCCCGCAGCACCATCTACTGGCGGTCAGCACAGCTCAGCTTGTACAGCCTTATAGATGGCGCTGCCGCTGCCCGTATCTTCATGGAAGGGGCGCCGGGTGTCCGCCTTGCTGCCGCTGCAGTCCAGTATCCAGTTAGGCCGTCCGCGCTGCTGAGACTCCTTCGGCTTCGCTCGGCGCTGCAACTTCACTGGTCGCTGGTGGCCGATCCGTGCTGGAGGACACCTGCTCCAACGACTACTCGCCTATTTCTGCTGCCAAGATGCTAGAAAGCTGCTCCTTCAAGGCGATAAGTCCGTATTATCCTAACGCAGTGGCTACCTCTCAGTCAAGTCGCTTACAAATAGCTTCCCAAGCTTACGGTGAAATCGAGACGAAAGAACACAACCAAAGCCCCATGATATGAATAAATCCTGGAGTAATATATGAAATAAGAGATATCGAATTCATTTTGGTTGTAGCCCCTCATCAGCTTTGATAATGGTCTACCTACACCTCAAACCTTTTTCTCTCCAAGTTCTCTCTTCATGAACCTCAATGAAACATGTTTGCTCATACCACTCATGCAAGTTTGAAGAAGCGTTTCTATTAATTTAAAGGCCTTCCTAAACGCTTATCAACAGCGTTTCTATGTTGGACAACATCTAATATGTAGTTCATTCGAATAAAAAGTCATTTAAAATAAGTCCCTACTAGACATCCACTGGGAAGCTACCTGCTTCTCCTCTGCCTTCGACGACCGGTAACCTTGCACGAGCTAGTACTACTACTTAGTAAAAATGAGGACCAACAGGTCTACACAGGCCTCTAAATTCCGTGTACTCCTAAGGTAAGGTTAGGTAAGGTAAGGTAAATAAATTATTTTTAGTGTTTTCTAATAGACTCACCTCCTATTTCGTTTCTGGAATATCTTCACGACTTACTCGCGGACGGCTGCCCTCTCTTAGCACGACATTTGCAATGAATTACTGGGTGAAAAGCGGCACTTGACCTGTTTGCGCTCAGAGGCATCTGCAGACTAACTGAGCTCAGGGCTGTTTATACGAATTTATCGAGAGAACACCTCCCACCTGCTTCGAGAGTAGGGTTATCGAACTTTCAGCTTTAACCGTCTTTGTTCAACAATCCTTTGTCAAATAGATTGTGGCTGCTTGGCGTTATCGCTGTATTGGGCCTTCATATATCTGAATGCTCTATCAAATGACGCAGTGAGTGATGCATGCCAGCCTTCAAATGGGGACTGACTCTCGAGCCACTCATGGATTATGACTAGCTCGGCTCAGGTTGTTTGTTTATGTGCCTACATCACCTCCCAGCCACTTGGTGAATCAGTACCTACACTCGACATGTTTCACCTAAACAGCCTCAACAAAGATGGTGTTATTTGCAAATGGATCGCGGCTGTTGTCTGGCAGGTTCCACGTCCTGTTGGGGGGGGGGGGGGCAAAAAAGAGCCCCCGTCATATCTCCGGAACCAATAGCCGGATCGGAAGATTCCAAACGGCATTCGAAAAGAGCTCATCGAGATGCACAAGGTGCGATATCGATGACCTGGATAGTTGAGGTGTGACGTCACAGGGAGGTTAAACAAGGTCAAAGCAGTCCAATTTACAATGACGAGAAGTCGGTCATAAAAAAGAAGTCTAGGTTTCAAAAATGAGTCCGGATGTGATGTTTATGATAGACCTGACATGTGGATACTCATCTAAATGGATGCTGACCTGTGACGTCACAAGCAAGGACAGCCTCGACCAATCAGAAAACACGTTAATCGTATAGAACGGCATGCTGAATTTTGAATAATCGAGTTTTATGAAGGTATGTCATACATATGAAGCCACTGAAACCTCTTAAGCCACTTTTCTTTGGCCTATGACGTCACCAAGAGATCAAAAAGGGTCATAATGTACCGGTTTACAATAAAAATATTTTAATATATAAAAACTAAAAATGATGTTTAGGTATTATGTAAAAAATAATTTTCGGTAAAGAAGAGGTGAATATGTATCATACATATTATCCTAGGCTGATTTTGAGTACAAATAATGAACATGTTGTGCCGCCATAAGAAAAGTCACTGATGTTTTAGTCATTCAAACGGCTATATCTCAGGCAGTTTTAGAGATCTTTTTTTGATTTTTGACATGTGTCACACAAGTATGACATATATTCCAGTTTTTGTAAAATTCCCAAAAATTTCAAGAATAATTCAAATCAAAATTTTCAGTTAGAAAATTTATATATCTAGAGATTTAATATTTATGAAATTTTCAGATGAAAATTTCGTTTGCCATGCTTTTTTGTACCTACGCTGTAATTTTTTAATCTAGGTTGGAATTCTGTTTTTGGGGATTTTTCTCCGTGAACAAATTTTTCGACGAAAAATGGCCAAACATGACCTCAGTTTGGCCTCTATAATTCGTGACCTGACATGACCCGGGAACCTCCCCCCCCAACGGGTCGCGGGTAAAAGGAGCATTATGTAAGCGAGCAGAGAAATGTAGAATTTAATGTGCCGTAGTTTTAATTTCAAATTTAAAGTCGGTAAGAATAATTAATATACAGGGGTGTGCACTAGAATCCGGAAAAAACTTTAGCTTGGTATATCGTATAAACTTTTTTTAATATATCACTCTTTTTTTCCTCATAGGTTTGTGACTTGAGTCGCCTTCGATCGGGAACAAAATAAGTAGAAATGTCCTCTGAGTTCGAGCGTTGCACCGCAGTTATTGTGGCCCTCCGTTGCGGCCGCGCGCCCAAGGAAATTGTGAACTTCTTTCAGTTCCCGAAATCGACCGTGTACGACCTTGCGAAATCCTTCAAAGAGTCTGAAGAGACGATGAGTGAGTCTCTGATTCCCAAGCGGAAGGAACAGGGCCAATTCGAGGTTCGGAAGCGGAATAAGGACTTCTTGGAGCAGCTCGAGGCCATGATTGGAGAAGGTCCGAGCCTGCCCATGCAGAATGTGACTTCGAGGCTCAATGTGCGCAGGGCAACAGTGATTCGTGCAATTCACGAGAATCTCCGATACAGGAGCTGCGTTTTCCAGGTGAGGCAGATGCTCTCAGAAGTCATAAAGACCAGGAGACTCGGAAATGTTAGCTGCTCATCACTTCTTTGAACCAGAGAGTTGCCGGCCGGGTCCGCTTCTTTCCCTACGAGAAGATCTTCTGTGTCCGTGCGACCATTATCTCTGGGGCGTCCTTGAGAGAGAGTCCAACAAAGGAGCTCACAACACTTTCGACTCCCTGAGGACCGCCATTATCCAGGCCGTGGTCAACTTCACCCGGGAGCAGGTCACCAACGCCTGTGGCAAGTTCCGGCGTCCTGTGGAGGCTGTGATTGGAGCTGGAGGGGGTTGAGTCGAGTGACAGTACAGAGGAGGGATCAGTCTTCGCTATAAAAGTAAATTTTTTTAAGTGAAGCCTTGCGATACCAAATAAACCCTTAAGTTCTTTCCTTAAGTTTTTTTTTCCGGATTCTAGCGCACACCCCTTGTATGTTGATGCAGTTTCATCGTACCACTGCAATCCGGGATGCTAAATGCTTACCCATATTCGGTCTCTTGGCATACAGATAGATGGCAATAAGCCACAATGACCTTATCGCCATGCTAACGTTGCATTGTAGGGCGATTGAGGCCATCTTCAAGCTCGACCAAGCATATTGAACAAAGTGACAAAACTGTGTTGCTACAAGACGCCTCGATGTGTTTACGAGAATACGCTTATTTACGAGTACTAGGGTGGAAGTGGACACTGGGCAGTGGGAAAAAGTGTAGGCGAGTGGCAACACTGCACAGTTGTTTTACATTCAGGCATCGAATGTCATCTAGTGGGGCCAGCCAACTGGCGTCAGTGGCGTCACCTGCCGTTCAGACGATACTACTACTGGTCACCCTTCTATCCGCGGCGGGGCGCTACTGAGCAATTCCAACAGAGGCCAAACCAAGGATGGGCGTACACCAGGCGCGGATACAAGGGGGGGGGGGCCATGGGGGCCATGGCCCCCCCCCCCCCTTGGCCGATTTTTTTTTCAAAAATAAAATAAAAAGTTAAAAAGTTAAAAAGCTGAAAAGGGGGCCTCCTGAAAATAAAGTGGCCGAAATCCGATGAGTTTTTTTAACCTACCCACTTAGTTATTTCTTAGAAGACTAGCTGAGAAGACTCCTTTGTTAGAAGATTGGTAAAGCTTTTCATAACTTGGAGGTCTCTTATACTCACAGAGATGACCACTTTTACAGGGCCTCCTAACCTGCACAGAGGGCCTCTAAGCCTGCACAGATGTTGAGATGTTGCCTGAACAGCTAGATAAGCTCAATAGACGCAGTTTTTTTTGGGGGGGGGGCCCAACAAGTGGGAAGATGGGGCCTCCAACAGGTGGGATTATGGGGGGGCCTCCTGGTTTCTAATGGCCCCTCCCTTGGAGATTTTCTGGATCCGCCCCTGGCGTACACCAACTACCTATGTATAGATCGGCTGATCATTTGTTCTGTAACTCTGTGCCGGCTAATCTATTTCCATCCTCAGCACACTCTCTGTTATCCCGGGATGGCAATCAGCCCATCAGAGGACAGCCGATGGAGGGCAGCTCTGAAAGGAATGCAACTCATCATTAGGGGACGGTACCTACGGATAAGGGAAGCTAACAAAAGAGCACACGCCACCTAACGATGGAAACCGTTTGACTGGCTTGGATGGCCTGCCCTAACAGGAAATGCTCGCGACTGGCTCACCAGTAGTGATTGGCTGGTGATGAACCAAATGTCTTCTTCACCTATACTCGCATTCCACGGCCAGCTGAAATGGTCTCATATAGACCAAAATAAACTGATCCAACAAAAGAAACTGCATGCAAGCAGGCAAGCGAGCAAACGGTCACTAGTGAACACAGTTTGCTGAAACGTAGATGGGGGGGGGGGGGCGGGTTTCTTCGAATAGTTGCTATCCCCGAAATGGTTTTCAATTCAGCGTGAAAAGAATTGTGTATCTAACTAGTTTATGATGCCGAATCAATTATTTTTTAATTGAAGTTTACTCAAAGGTCAGTTTGAAGCTATTTTAGCTCTGATTACGATGTGAAAAACAAATATTCCCTTTTCTTTCAGATTTCCATGACATAAAATATTTACCTTACTACCTATTTACCACGGATCCTGAGCAAGTATTATAGATATGTATTACGAAAGAATTCCTCTATCCGTTCAGCAATTTGATGCGCTTGTAACGCCTGCCTAGTATCACTTACTTACCCTATGTCAACGGCAATCTGTGCACTATCAACGAAAGCAGAATGCAATATCCAGTATCGTGATATTCATGGCCGATTAGATAAGCGACACCTGACCAGAAATTGATATGCGACGATAGTCGATAGGTATTGATATAATTTGTTGATAAGCGAGCATATCATCGTATCCTATCAGACTGAGCATCGATGAATCTGATTGTGTTATCTCGCCACGCAATAAAAGCCACAACAA